TCATTCCATGCTGGTGTTTTCAGAGAGGCCATGGTAGGAGGTGACTTGTGCCCCTTGGCAGCAGATGAACACAGGAGGAGGACAGGCCCTGCTGTGCTGAGCTCCCCAGGTCTTCCCTGAGCAGGGGCTGAGGAAGGATCAGGCCAAATACGTCAGGATAAGACATCCAAATGCAATAATTCTTGTTTCCTGCCCTATACCTCTGAGTTAAAATTCAGCAGTGTGTGCAGATCAGCCTTTAATTATGATCTGTCCATTTCAAGGCTGCAGCACTGATGAGACAATTTCTGGGAACATTATTCAGGATTGAATATATCAAGAAGTGCAAAGTTTTCCTCCTTGTCTGTGCTCTGCTGCGGGCAGGGATGAGCTGGTGATCAAGACTGCATGCCAGAAGGGTAATTTCTTTCACTACTCAAAGCAAAACATGGAAATTCTTAAAATTGGTGATAGTGAGTTCATTAATTTCTTACCAAAGAAATGACCAAACTGTGCTGAATGTCGATTTTGGCCTGTGTTGGGTAAAATGTTTAGATGTGTTTGTTCAGGACTTAAGATGGAGATCTTGGGCTATCACTAGGGTCCAGTTTACTGCTGTAATACAAATACTGATGCAAGGGATATTTTGTACAGGCCTGGACGGTTGGACAGTGAGTACTCACTGTAATTGCTGATTGCTAAGGAAGGTGTTTCCTTGCCAGACTTTCCCTAGGAACGGAATTAATGTATGTGTAGTGATTGCTAAAATATAATTCTTCTCAGTGCAACCTCATCTCTAACTTGACATTGCTTTCGGTGGAAGTATTTGTGAGAATCTACAAAGAGTCAGTGATAACACATTCAATTAAATTATTACATTTCGAATGTACACATTAACAGGGCAGGGAGAAACTTCGATTGTGGTTCCAATTTCATCCCATCTTCTTAATTGTATGTGCAGTAACACCACACCTTGACATTTGCAAAGTGGCATCAGATCACCCTGAGTTTGAAATGTGATTCCTAGCCCATGATTATGTAAAATTAAACTGCTGCATAAGTACATTGGGAATTTGCAGGACAACCTCAAGGCACAAACAATTAAGAACTTTATGAGGGCTTTCCAATTTAATTAAAAAAACATATAGGAGTGAGAAATAGTATTGGGTAGACATATGTTTGGGTTTGTGGAACCTATTTCTGGATACTATTTTGAGTCTTTCTGTCAGCTGCATAGTAGCAGACTTAACAAAAAGGTGTACTATAAATCACTCTGGGTGTTGGAGCTGACAGCTTTAAATAAATACAGCTGACAGCTCAAATAGCTGTTCCATTGACAGTATGTGGTCTAAATGTGTTAACAAATGCGTAGACTCAGCAGTTTGGGATTAGTTTAGCAAATAAATTACAAAATAATGCTGTGATCCAGCAAAAAGGACAATGCCTGTGTGTGCCTGGTCTGCAGGCTTTGTTAGCACTGCCACAGGCCTTTGAAGCTCCATGTGAAAACACAACACTGCAGCTAGAGCAGGGCTCCTGCTAGGATAGCATTCATCTCCCCCAGATTTCTCTCCTTAGGGTGATGTCAGGGAATGTGAGCAACAATGTGAGTGTTGTGGTGAGTAAAAACGGTTTGATAACGGATGTGTTTGCTCTGCAGGATCAGAGGTTTCATAAAGGAAGGTGCTAATGTTACACTGGGTTATGATTGAGGATACAGAATTACTGAGTAGCCATAAAATCTGCTTTCATGCAAAACTTGAGATATTGAAGTGTTTTAATGTGTTTGGTGTGTGGTTGCTAGGCTGGGTCTGTAGTGTGTGTGGAAGGAAGGCTGGGAAGAGAGGGTGAGGAAGGGGCTAGGCAGTTAAAAGGTTTTCAGCACCAAAGATGAATTATGTTACTATGTTAATTATTTCCCTGCTGATCACAACTAAAAGTGACAATTACATGAAGAATGATGTAAACGTTTGACATATATAAGGCATGGCATTTTTTGTGCTTAGAGGTTGAATAAAGCCACTGTTTATTCTGTTAGATTTTAGCTATTCACAGACAGGGTAACGTGGCACAAGGTGTTTTAGGGTATGTAACGTGAACGTGGGATGGAACTCTCAGGACCTGTCTTTTAATAGAATCACAAGTATTCTGATGTTTGCTAAAAATGTATTTTTATAGTAGTATCTAGTGCATAATTTTAGTATTCAACGTGCAAGTGGTAATTCTGATAAGTAAATCCTATAAGTCAACATGGTTTTTTTACTTAAAATGTTCTTCCACAAAGAGCAGTAATATGTTGGGGTAGGTGCTGTACTATTGAGGTTGTTTAAGGTATTTTTTCCCTGATGGAAATGCATAGAAGGATTCTTTAACTGCAATACTTTGGATGTTAGGGAGATCTCAGAATATCTCAAGTAGAGCAAGTGCATTTTTTTTCTGTTTGGTGCTGTGGTGCATGATTTGTATAAAATAATGATCTCTAAATGAACAACTGAGACATGTTTTGGATTAGTAATGATCAACAAGATTTTCCTGAAGTCTTTACATACAAATTAGTTAAAAGGATACACGTCAAGCCAGGAAGTCTTTTTATTTGTTGCCTTTTGATTGGATCTAAGTACATTTCATAGTTCAGATGTTTTACAGGAACTTCAGGTGCAGCCAGTTGTGATATATTCTTCTTTCTGGGAAATGAAGGAGGTTTTAATTTCACTCACAAATTTGCTGTGGGTCAGGGCACTGCACAAATCCTTTGTCCACCTCTGCCCAGTGACGTGCTCCAGCAGTGTGTTGCATCTTAGTGGAGAACAGCAGAACTTGTGCTTTGCCTCTGGGTTTCTTTGTTGAGATTTATGGTGCCAAGGCTGAGACACTGAGAGGAACTAGAGTTCAGAGTGCAACAGCAGCTGGAAAATTCTTTATTCTACATGCATTTGCCTGCCTGATGTAACATGATTAAGGACAAGGTCAGGACACCTAATTGTCAGTGAAATGGAGAGCAGTTTGTTTGTTACTTATATGTGAACTACTCCAAGACCCTTCTGTCATCAGACTGATTTCATTGCCAAGAACACACTTTATTTCTTGTGAATATCTTGTGACATCCATCTTAGGCAGTGAGAATCACCAAGGGTCAGATCCTCAGGGGTCAGATCCTCAGCTTCTGTCAATCTGAGTAGCTCTGTTTAGGTCCTTGATACTCTAGTGATCTATGCTAGGTGAACATATTTCACGATGCTAAGAAATATGATTAAAAGTCAATGTTCATTTTTATAAGATTATATTATTTTTGCACAGTAAAAGGAAAAATGTGATGGCCACATTAAATTCTCATGCGCACTGAGTGCACAGCTTACAAACAACCTGTTTGCCAAATTAAGCTGCTTGAAAACAACTTGAAATGGGACAAAAATTCTGTTTTCAGTTGTCAGCTGTTCAGAATTGTGGATTAATATGTACAGGATTTTTAAGGCAGTAGATGATTCTTGGCTGGCTCAGCAATGCTTGGCTCCTGAAAGAGTAGATAGCTACAGAGAGGTGAGTACTCAGGGAGGAATTGTTACGGAATATGTTTTGGTGTAGTTGTCTAGGATGCCTTGAGGATAGCACTGCATGAACTTCTCTTCATGCTGACTCAGGGAGAATTTTAATGTATTTAACTGCTTTTGCCTCGATGCTGAACTTGTTTGAGGCCAATAGGAATTTTTCAATTACTGTTTTGTTAGGTTTTCAAAATGCAGGCTGGGAGAGAGTGAAGGGCCCAGAACAGCAAAGTATCAGCTGTGTGGACTCTGTGGCTGATGCTCTGAAGGAGACATAGTCCTTCTCACAAGTGCACTCAGATTCATTGGTCTCTTCCCCTGCAATGGCTGGTTAGCTCATAAACAATTCAGTTCTGGTTTAGGTGGTTTTCTGCACAATTGCTTTTATTTATAGAGACTTTTGAAAAGGAAAAAAAAAGCAGTTAGTTTTGAATTTAGTTGTTTGCAGCAAAGGAAGAAATGCATTGAAACTCAGTGATGGAATATTCTCTTTGCTCAAAAAGTTCTGTTGTGCTCTGGTGACTTGCACAAGCAAGTGAAGGTGTGAATACTCCATCAGAGCATCTGAACACCTCTGTTTTCTAATGTCTGAATTGCTTGTGCCTGTAAAAACATTTCTTCAGCCTCTCCAGAGGTGGCTGCTTTAAAGAAGGACATTTTTAATCCATCAGTCATAGCCCAGAAGTACCAGGTAGAGTGTGTTAGAGCTTTCTCAACGTGCCTTTGTGCACATTCTTGCTCCACACTTTTAGTCCTCCCTATTGAGAAAATTAGGAAATACCACCAAGAAGATATCTTTTGCTTCCCTGGTGCTTTTTAAAGCCTCACAGTTATCTGAAACCTCAAGTCCACAGAGGCTTTCCTTTTAATTCTTCCTGCAGGAAAGTAAAGGTTTTTTGCTGTCCTCATCTATTAACTGGCTGATGTAAGAGTGGTTTGCAACTGCAGCAATCTCATGCAGAAGCCACTTCTTAAGCAAAAAGGTATGACTGCTTTTCACTTGGAAGTCAGTGGGAGATTTTATCCTCGCCTACCTCACAACTATATCTGAGCTCCAAGTCATTGATGAAGAGCTGAGTGTTCTGAGAATGAAGGTCTATTGTAAACAGAACTCCCTCTGATTTCATAAGATGCTCCTTATCTGAAGGTCTGATAAGATCAAGACCTTGGAGGCATTAACACTTCTAGTGTAAGAGTTCACATATTTCGGTTTAGGAGTCAGAAAAACAGACACAAGCTGTATATGATTAAATTTTATTGGATATTTTTAAGGGAAGTGTCTACTAAAGTAGAGTTTAGAACATGGTAAATGGTCCACACAATGAAAAAAATCATTAATCTCTGTTTGATAATGGTGCTAAGACAATGAAAAATAGCAGACACTGTCAAGATAAATAAGGGACTCCTGATTTTTTCAAGGTTTTGGAGTGTCTCGTGCAGATTCATCCCAATTCTGTCTTGTTTGGTCCTTTTGAACCTCTAAGCCTGCACCATTTCCTGAAATTCTGTGAAAGAGAAAAGAATAATTACAGGACAAATATTAAAATAAAAGGATTAGGAGTAAAAGATTAGTGGCTTATCAAGAGATTTAGAATAGGAATGAACAGAAAACAGTTTTCTGGCCAGAGAAGAAACATGCCTGGAAGGGAGGCATCGCCTAAATGTTCTCTTTCAAACAGATGGAAAGTCAGAGTTTTGCTGGCATTTATAAGGAATAATAAAATGTTCAGGGTATTTTCAGCCTTCTTTCTGCATAATATTGATCTTAGGCAAAAATAATGGAATGTCTAGTATGGAATTTGGGTAAGAAGTAGTTAAGAGCTGAAGTAAAAAAAAAAAAGTGAGTCCATGTGTTTTATTAGCTGTTCGTAGGGCTCCGAAAGTTGAGAAGTGTTGATTTAGGGCACAGTCTAAAGCCAAAAACATTGTGCAGCTCCATGTGGTGTGATCCTGGAGTGTTGTGTTGTGCAATAAGATACTGTTATTTGAAAGATCTTTTAAATGTTTGGCTTCCATGAATTAGAGTGTCTGATCGGTCCCATCCCTGAATGACTATATTAGTATATGGATTGCTTCATAAATCATGTGTGTTTATTCTGGCAGAGCTCCTAAGGAACTGGATTTAATTCCTTCCAAAGAAAGAAACAGAAGAGCTCTGTCCTGCTAGTGCAGTGAGCTGGGGAATCTGCATGCCAGCACATTCCCTGCGTGCTATTCCCTAAGCCCCTTTCATGCTCGCCTGGGCAGCTTGCTGCTCTCATGGGCGAGTTGCCATTGGCTGCAAACCTTTTGTGTGTGTGTGCTTCGTGTTCAAAATAGGGCACAGAAACATGGAATTAGGAGATCAGGAGCTTTCTGCACTGAGCAGCCATTAAGTCATCCCAGCATTTCCACACGGTGAGTGCAATGTGCTGCTTCCTAAAGCAGCTGCTCCTTCCTGTCTGGTCCTTAAGCTCCCGCTGAAGATAAATAGCACTCACCCCCTGCTCTGATCCCGTTGTGGGATCTCATGTCGGGGTAGTGACACTTGATCATTCTGTTCTCCTTATGCAAAACAAGTATTGAAGTAGGTGCTGCTGACTCCTGCATGTTGAGGATTTCAGTGAGTAGTGAAATTTCTGCTGAGAAATAGCTGCTGTAAATGCGCCGATGTATGCGCTGGTGATTTTCCTGTGTACAGCTGTGTCTTTTGTCCTTGATTTCACATTTGTACGTTGCAAGTGATGCCAGGGCTGCCTTGAGACAGTGGGAGGAGAAATAAGGGGCAGTTCCTTTCAGAATACTGGAAATTTGTGAGTGGCAACGAGAAGGTTTCTTAGGGCAGCCTAGGTGGGTTTTTTACTAGCTCATGCAAAAGGATTTACAATGACCCTGTAAGATCAGGGGTCATTTCCATCCTTAAACAGGTTGCTACTGTAAGGATTTCAGTAAAATCTCTGGAGGCACATTAATGTACCATCAGCATAAAAGAGAATCACACAGCATTACGACACATCCCGAGGAGTCTCACTCTGTGTTTAAAGGAGTTAATACCTTCAGCCCCGATTTTGCCGTCCCCATCGTGATCTGCAGCTGCCAAGAAGGTCTTGGTTTCTGAGCTGGTTAACACTCTGGCTCCACCCTCAAACCTCTGAAGGAAATACCTTGGAAGAAAATAACTTTGATTAAGATTTTCACACAATATGATTTTTAATGCATGTATAATCAAACTGATAGCTATCTCTAAATAATTTACCACAATAGCCTCCAAGCACTGCTTTGTTTGACAAGCTAAATCTTAGCCACATATACTTCTGCTTTTTAAGTCCAACCCTGATACAAGTGATTCTGTCCACTACCAAAATCCAGCCCCAGGGAGTTAGTTTTTTCTGTACTGAGCATAAAGGCAGGTATTTAGTAATTTGGTTTTCTCTGTAGGGATTATCGGCTTAAATACACCTTTCACAATCTGCTGAAGGTTTTGTCAACATTTAGCATAACTTGTGTTCATGTTTACAGAACAGCTCTGAAAAGGAAAAAAGTGCTGATTTTTGGATAGCCTCTAAATAGTTAACAAAATCCTTACTTGAGCTCATCTTCCTCAATAAAGCCACTTTGATCATTGTCGAGAATCCGGAAGATCTCCTTGAGCTGGCTGCTGCTCTTTTTAGACATCCCACTGATCTGAAAGAATTTTTTGGGACTAAAGGAATCTGGAGCTGAAAATAAATTAATAAATAAATTAACCCCAGACCACAGTGTTCACTGTTCCTAAACGGTCTGAGGATGCTGCTTTGTTACATTTTAATTGTGCTAAACATGAACAGTAGATAAAATCTGCCCAAGAGTGAATGAATTTACCCTACTGCCCCATACCCTCCAAACATCAAACAAAATCACGTGGGGTTAAGCTACAAACTGTCAATATAAACCAGTTATGAACAAACATGCTGTGACAGCTAAGTAAAGAGATTAGAGAAATCTGTTTAAAGTCTGCACTTGTTCAGTATTCCCTGGGGTCTGAGTTGAGCTTGCCACGTGTTACACAAAAGAATAGATTCAGAGCTGTAGCTGTTTTCTCACCTTGGCAGTCCCGCAGAGCAGCAGCGATGTCAGAAGGGCTAAGAAGGTCTGTGAGGCTCATTTTAAACCTGTGCAAAACAGTACATTGCAAACAGATTTGGGAAATGCGAATGCATCTTGCAGCAAACTGGTTTTTTTCTGTGCTTTGAAGAATACTATAAAGTTAACAAGACTTCTTAGCATTGATGAATCTAGTTGATCAAACCAACATCTCTGCAATGCCTGAACAAATTACAAGGTTTCGTGCATCCTTAAAAATAATATTGCTGATATAATGCTTTTTAATGAGATGGATTGCATAAACCATGTTGTGAGCTGATGATCATTTATCATTTACTTGGAACCTATTTAAGTACAGCACATTTTTAAAGTCTGTGTAACAGTTAATCTAATAATTAGTCTATCAGGAATATATGGCATCTGGCAGAACAAACAAGAGTACATGCACTGGGAAAAGCAAAGGCAAGAAAGTTTGCTTATATCATCTCCCCCAACAGTTTGGAAGAATAAAAAGAAAGCTGATACTTATCTACATAAGGTCCATCCATATGTAATTCCAGCTATGAAAGTACAAAGCTTAGAACAATGGTTATTGTACTTACTACTGGTGCAGCTCTGCACAGTAATTTCATTTAATTAATCTCAAGTCAGCTGCTCACCTGTAGAGTTTTCTCAGCTAGGGAAAGGGAAAATAGCTGAGGAGATACCAGGCAAAATAGTAATGTTGGCTCTGCCTTGCCACTCTGTCTTATAAAGGATTCAAAAGGTGACAATAACCACTACTTAGGTTACACTTTCATGGATCAAATGTTTGATTTGAGACCTAGCTCAAATTTCTTCCTTAACTAATTAAACTTTTCTTTCTATTTATATCCTAAGATAATATGGGCAAAAAGAACAGTTTTTGAAATAAATCCAGTAGTGTTTAATTAAGTCCAACTCTGCCATGAAAGCATAACCTTTCAGTCTCCAAGAATGTTAACAGGTAACCTCTGCCCCTCACAGTCACTCTCTGGAAAATGACTCCAGCAGTCAAATCCTTATGGAAAGAAATGAGTTTGTTTCCCCAAGTCTGTTGATCCTTTGGAATGTATAAAGGAAGTTGGAGATGAAAGATCAGAGGTGACAATGTGTCATTCTGACAAAGACAAGTTGTCACTAGGCTGGAGGGAACCATGCTCTAACTGGGGTGATCTTACAGTAAGCTTCATTTCATATTTCCTGACCATTTCCTAAATTACAGAAACAGAAACCAAAGCCTTCAACGACAGAAAACTCTCAACTAGGTAAAAGTGAACGAGCTAATCTTGTGTCAGTATTCCTTGGAGGATTATGTATGATCAGGTGACCCATGTAATAATCTATTTTGAGTATTTTAAATTATGTGAAATCAATAATAGACTATTATTATAAGAAATAGTTGTATAAAGTTGTGGGAATCAGAAATTGTTGGTGTGGGACAGATTTATCTCTATTTTATAACACTCTCACAATCTATCTCCTTAATATGAAATTTCAATTATGGGTATAAATAATGGGGATTTATAATTTATTTCAGGAGCATTAATTATGGAACAAAAAGCCCTAAGAAAATTTGGAACAGCAGATATGAGATTTTCCTTCTCAGACAAAAATCCATTTCCATCTTTAAGGGGGTTTATATGGCCAAAATTCTAGGATGAAGACCAATAAAACCCACATGTATTTTGGTTAGAGTTTATTGTGGAACAGTTTAGTATGGGATCTCAAGTAATGTTCTTCTAGTCCATGAGCATTGCTTTGTTTTTAGTGAGTGGAAATAGCATGGGATGCCAAAGAATTGGCATTTGTAGGAGCAACAGGTACAAATTATGCTGTGAATTAGGTTAGTCATATATCTAAGCCTTGGTGTAATGGACTACTGTGAGTTTACTCCTGCTTGGTGTAATGACAGTGAGGAAAGTGTGAAGCACAGCAGTTGTTCATGGCACTGTTTGAATATGGATAGAGAAATACAAGGTGTAAGTAACACAGAAAGCAGACATAATTTGGTGATACTTTGGCCTTTTTTGCTGTCTCTTTTGTAGGCAAAAGAAGGTGGCACAAATCCCAGATAATCAGACTTACCTTTGGTCCCAAATGCCAGCTGTCCAGTAAGGAAAAAATCCTCCTTTCTATCACTTCCAGTGGGAAAAGTGTTTGTAGGAAGCTGGAAGAACACTTTGCTATTGAACCCAGGAACCCTGGGCTGTGGTGCATTACTATTGTCTGAGTAAAACAAACTGGACAGTGTTGATTTGTACGAGTTGAAGACCTGATCTCAGGTCTTTTGGTATTCTTTCCCTTTGTCTTCTTTACTACTACTATATATTGCTTTCTGCCTGAGATTTCCATGACATTATGATCTAACAACAGTGGCAGTGGGAATGAAGCACATATTGTGCTTTCTCCAGAGTCATGCTGGAACACCTTTCATCCTTGTAGGCATCTTTTTACACTCTGTTGTGAATTTTCTCTTTTATGGTTATCTCAAATTGATATGAGTTTGAGCAGAAGAGTTCTTTTACTGATTCCTCTTGATGTTTTACTGCCAAGATATTTCTAGAGAAAATGGGGTTTTTTAGACCTCTGATAGTGCTTTATAGACTTCCTTTAGTTCTGCTTCCTCCTGCACACTCCTCACTGAACTGGCTTTGTTTAAATGTTTGATTTACCATAAAATACTAATTATTAACAGCTATTGAGAATGAGGAGGTTGAAATGAAGCAGAGGAAAATGACAAGATCAAGGTGAGCATGTAATACTCAAGCTCAAAATATGTCTGCAACTAATTCAGGGGCTGTACTAATATAAGCACCAAATGTTGAAGGAATGACATCTGGTTACCTCATACTCTGCTATAGCACACATTGCTAAGCTGGTTTTACATATATTCAACAATAGGAAAGTAGCCAGAATTAGTGTTATATGAAATTATGGTCTCAAATAAACATGAGCTTATTGCTATTATTGCTTATGAAGGGATCTTATAGTGTCTGAAATTCAATGCTGACGACAAAAGTGATGCTAATCCTGGCTGGAAGATGGTTTACAAAGGCCTAAAAGAGCTGAATTTCAGAATCTAGTTGATGTCACTGTATATTGATACAGGTGGGAATCTAGGGTTACTAGGTTTTATTTATTTATTAATGACACTTCATCTGAAGTACAGGTTTCCCTCCACTACAATTAGAATGCAATAATCAGGGATTAGTATATTAAGGGATGTTTTAATGAGATAATCTATTTTACAGCTGAATTATCTGCCTGTTTTCCTTATTTTTGGGCTCTGTGTTGGCTTAAGTGATTGTAATCACTTGGTGTGTTCAAAAACTAAGATCTGTAGAAGAGATTTTTAAGAAGATGTTACGCAAAAAAAGTAATGCTACAAAGAAAATTCCTGATGTTCGGACAAAACAGCAGCTGCTGGGTAATGGCAGTTAGCAATAGTGCAATGTCTGGTACAGAATCTGAGTATTGCACAGTTTCCAGGAATGTTCAGCACTTGTTCCTATGAAATTAAAGCAAAAATATTAAACTTTGTTTATGGAGGTTTTTTGCTCTACTAGGGACATCTGAAAATGCTATTGAGTTATTAATCTGAAGATTTATGTACTCATATATCTTCTGTTTTCAGCTGAGGTGTCTTTATTAAATAATATTAAAGCCATTTTTTTGTTTTTAGACTTCAGGAGCTAAGCCTGCAGGTGTGTTCCTGAGAAATACAGGACATTCGTGTTGATAAGTTTTTGCTAGGAAACTAACCTATAAAACAATAGTCTTCAAATCAAGTACTATTTACTTCTCTAAGAATCAGAGGAAAGTCGTGTTTTGGTAAATCATTGATGGGTTGTGGACTAGTTATGTCCCCTTTGTGTTCTGTTTGGCATAAAGGACAGAGTTAATTAGCAGTGGCAATCAACCAAAGCAATGACTTCAAGCAGATGCAAAAGAAACATCAGCAGTTGTCTCAGGTGAGATCAGAGGAGAGGTGTTAACCTGAGACCAACTACAATAGTGTAAAGAGATGCTGTAGCAGCTGTTTTAAAACCCACACAACTCCATCTTTCAGCCCTGGTTGTGTCAGGGCCAGAACAATTGTATCATGATCCTGGATAACAGATTCTGCCTTTGTAATGAGTTTGGAAGTAACTAAAATAGGTTGATCAGTGGTGTTGATGTCTCAATGCTGATGGCAGAGAATCTTAGTGTGCTTATAGCTATAATCATTGAAAAGGACCTTTACAACACAGTGAGTTATATCCTCCACTTCAAGTTGGCTCTTAAGGCATATGTTTAATCATCTATAAAGAAGTACAGAATCTGTTTTGAATTGTTGCTTGGGCCACAGTATTTTACCATATATCACAGATAAATTTAAGCATGTGATGTGGTATTGGGCTTTTTTGGCACTATGCATTATTCCGACAAAGGATAGAGCCAGGCCCTGGAAACCTCAGTGACAGAGTTTTCTTTCCCTGCAGCAAGTAGAAGATATTACCCAGAGCACTGAGCAGAGATCTGCACTGTAGAATCCAAGATACAAGATCCATCTTGCAGCACTGTGGGTCTGGAGCTAAACAAAACCAGGTAATTCTCTCATGTTAGGAGAAATGTCATGTGTACTTTCCCTAGTTCAAATAATGTCCTTATCATTCTGTGTGAGTGAAATTGATTTCTGTTTGAAAATGACAGCAGAATAGACTAATATCAGATAACTGAGTAATAGTGTCACTAATTCATAGAGATTGGTCTGATCAGCATATTTTGTCACTTAAAAAGCTGTCCTGGAAGATCCCTGCTAGCATTTGATATGATGTGTCTGTCTTTAAATCCACTTGGAAGTTCTTCTGTGACTCAGTAACACTATTTTCTGTCTCTGACCCTAAATGTAATTGTCTGAGATGTTTCTGTCTTCTGTCAGCATTAGACAGTGTCAGATGGAGTGATCTTTAAAAATCTACATTGTTCAGGTTTCCTGTGTATTTTAAGAATAACCTAAGGTTAGAGGCTGTGAAATAATCTGGGTGCTGCCTGTTGTGCCATGTAAAAGATAAGTACTGTGCTGCTATACTGTTACCAAAGGCTCTTTGCCTGTGGCTGAGTTTCACTGTGCCTCACAGTGTAAGAGGCCATGGGAAAAGAAAGCAAACAGCACTGAGGCACTTCCAGCTGTGGATCCACTGCCTGTCCTCAGTGATGTCAGGGGGATTTCTGCCATTCACTTCAGCAGTAGGAGGATGTATAACCCTTAGTGAGGTAACATAAAATTACCCTGTGATTACAGTCAACCTTATCATAAGTAATCATCAAAAGTCACTTGTTTAGCAGAAATGACCTTCTAAATAAAGAAACAGGTGTCTAGATTCAGCAAGCTCTTAAAACACATGCATCAAGCATGTGACAATATTCCACTGATGAAAGGCAACAATATATTTAGAGCCTCAGACCTTCATATTTATGATCCCAGAAGAATCCAGAAGAGGAAAAGAAAGTAAGTGTATTCTTGTACATAGGAAACAGAAGGAAAGGTCTAAAAATGTCTCTAGTCACAAGCTCTTCTTAACTTTCTGGAGTGATCACTGAAGCTGATACCAGACTTACCTTGTCATTAATTTTTTACTCTTCTTAATGGAATGGTAAGTGGTGAAATTGTCTTAGATTTGTAGGCCTAGCAGGCTAATCAGGGTGGAAGTAAGTGTGGTTAAATAAAGGAGCTGCCTACTATCTCAGAAGTTATCTGAGCTGTCTGTGCCTTTCTCTCTTATTTAGCCATTAATGTTGGTACAATGCTAGACCAGGTTGCTCAAGGCTTTGTTCAGCCTGGCTTTGAAGCTGGTTTCACCAGGGTTGGGGCATCCACAGTCTCCCTGGGCAACCTGTTCCAGTGTTTCACCACCCTCACAGGAAAATATTTCTTCCTAATAGCTTAGCTAAATTTCTCCTCTTTCAGTTTGTACCCTTGTACCCCATTACTCCTTGTCCTATCACTGCAGTTCCTGTCGAAGGAACTCCCTTACACTGACAGAGAGGTAAGCTCTGGGCTCCTCACTCCTACTCCTGTGCAGGTAGACCCATGTCTTGTTGCTTTGTATCTCTGTGCCATGGTGCCACTTGCCAGGTACTACCAGACTGCTGGATATTTAGTGCCATATGTATGGTGCCAAAGGGCATTCAGTGTGCAAAGCAGACCTAACAAAAGGTATTTATCCCCCAACTGCAACCTAGCACCTTTCCTGAGACCTCCATGCTGCTCCCAAGATCTGAGGTGCAGGTTCCCCTCCTATGGAGAACAAAATGCTAGCAGTTTCTGATCTGAAATGATTTAATCTGGCAAACTGAGTCACCCACAGACATGGGCAGGTGGGGCACAAGAAGTGTTCTGCCTTGAGTTAGTTCAAGCAGATAGAATTCCATTTTAATTTCTTGGCAGTGGAACAATAGTGCCATCGGGTGGGCATGGAGGTGAGTGGTTTCTTGGAGAACTTGGAATGTGCTGCTATTTCAGTAATTTAAATTCATCTTGGATCCAGTTGATCTTACATTAAAACTGATGTATTAGCTAGTGCCAGGTCCTGTGATTTAATTAGTGTAGAAACAGCTGCATAAAAACATAGGGAACATTACATACATCTCTTGGTTAAACAGCACTGCTAACAGTTACCATAAACAGGTTTTACACCTGGACATCTTATTAATGCTATTTTTTTACAACACGTGTTACCTACTTATGTAAATATAGAAAATTTCATGGCCTATAGAGATGCTTTTAATTTTTCCTTCTCTTAAGAATTTTACTTGTACCTTTAATGCCTAAAATTCAGGTGAACAGAGTAGATTCTAGTTCAGTCTCCCATTGGTATAGACCTTCTGCTTAAAACATTGGGGAATGTGGTTTAAGTAGTGCTTGCACTACTCTAGGTGTTTTCCAGCAGTAAGAAATCACTTGCCAACATTTGTTCGTGATGTTTCAGGATACAGAATGTGTAAATAAATGGAAGGTTTGCGATAGGAAAGATTGTTTATGGCACAGGTATCTTGGTCTTTATCTTGACTGCTTGTTATGATTTGACCAGAGCTTGAAACTCTGAAAAAGTAATAAAAGAAGAATAAAATGGGACCACACTTCGTAATCACACGGTCAAAGAAGTAGTACTTTAATTTTGGGGATTAAAATGGGAAACTAATGATGCTCCCTCTGATAATCATTCCTTAAAGGTAGCACATTGTATATTCCTAATAATAGATAATTGAGGCAAAGGAAGTTTTGTGCTTATGTGTCACATTGCACCATAGTTCAACAGTAAAAAGCAGTGAAATTGTAGACTGAATTTAGGTTTCAGTCCTGAAAGATCTCCACAGAAGAGAAAAGGGATTGACCACCTGTAGGCAGGGTCAGAATACAGATGAGTTCCTATGTTAGATCCTCTCTACAATACAGATCAGATCTGAGCACCTCAAAATCAGATCCATAACATCCAACACATGGAGCAGGACAGCTGCCTAGAGCTAGCCAAGAGGAAATCTCAAGGGCAGGTATTGCTCCATTTAATGAAGTCTTACCATCCACCCCAATTTTACCATCTCCATCGCCATCAGCTTGTGCTGCGAGTGCCTTGGTCTCAACATCAGTCAGAGCTCTGGCACTGTCTCTGATATTCTTCAGGAAAAGTCTGTAAAAGTTGAGAGGACAAGTGAGTGAGATATAGCCAGTACTGAAAGCATTTAGAGCTTGGTGTTAGTAATAGCTGTAAAATTTCAAGCCTGATTCAATTCTTGAGGCCATTTCAAAGTTTTTTTGTAAATAATTTTTGATTAAATGGCAAAATTTCTTGTAACTTCAGTGAGAATAAGGGTAAGAACGTAAGAGGATGTTACCTCACAATGTGTAAAAATCTTTATGACATTTTGGTTTCATTGGATTAAAAAGACAGAATTAGCACTGACTCCATAGTGGCAGGATTTATCTTCCCTCCTGTGTCATCTTCCTGCTTTTCTCCGAAGACGCAGGTGCTTGAGAGTGGCAAGAATTTCTCTAACCTTCCTTTTAACTTCAAAGTCAGATGAATGTGATCTGCAAGGTAGAATTCCTGTGGCAGAAAGAAAGATGAGAGAAAAATGGTCCTTTGAATTCAGACTAGTAAAGAATCTTGCAATAATAAAAAGCAGCTGTAGCAGAGCTGCTATTTTTATCTTCACAGTCTGTCAGTTATCACTACATGAAACAAGTATTTTCAGTGCTGTCAGAGTTTGCTCGTTGTGATCCAGCCTTGCCTTGTTATTTGACTTGCAGCTCCTCTGGCACCAGCACACACACATACATGTGCACATACACACCATTGTCTCTCATGCAAAGAGACAAAAGGAAAGGTAATATTTCAGATCTTATCACACATTTTTAGATGATAAAACGCAGTCCTGTTGGTAACTCGTTTTTTATTTACTTACTTCAATTCCTCTTCCTCAATAAAGCCACTCGTGTCCTGGACAAGAATTCCAAAGACACTGGGGAGCTGGACATTGGACTTGGAGCTGAGACCAACTTCAACAAAAAAGGCTTTGCAATTAAATGAATCAGCAGCTGAAATAAGCATGAAGAGATGAACAAAAGTAGTTCAAGAGAAGAAAAGTAGTTAAAGATCTGGAACAAAAAAAAATTAGCTTTTTGATCAAAAAGCATCAAGCTTGTGCAGTACAATGAGGTACACCAGAAACCCCAAGTAACAATCTTTGATTTTCCTGAGTTTGTATCAGATTAATGGGATTTTTAATCAATGAGCTCTCAAACCTAGGACATAAGTAATGACTGTGGTCTTCGTCATGTGAGAACATGCATTTGTAAACAGATACTTCACTCAAATATATGTTATTTGCGGAACTTGGTGCTAAATATTGTGCTTGTTTTGAAATCAGCAGTAGTTTTATTATTATTCTCTGAAAAACTAGGATTTATGCCTAAGGACTTCAGCCTTTGGTTTTCTCATGCTTTAAGTTGCTGCAATGCACAGGTGATGATGGGAGCCTGTGCCTTGGTTGGACAAGGTTCAAACTTGTATCTGTTGTTTTACATTGCACCTTTTTCTGTTTTTGGTAAACAGCCTTTTCTGTTCACTTTGGAATTGGGATGTTGTGGGAGCAAGGACAAAGGAATTTGATAGATAAACTGAAAAGCCAAATTAAAAACATCAGTGTTCCCTTGGTGGCTCTGTAGGCCACCAGCATTTTCAGCTTCTGTCAGGATAGCAGAAAGAGTCATGTCAAAGCTACTGCCAAATGAAGAGTAATATTGGGTAGAGGATCAGAGAAGATCTGTAATTGTGTTGGAATTACTGAACACTCAGGAAGTAATCCTTGTGGGAGGATCACATTGAGATTACAAAGCATTTATCAATACGAGGTTTTGGTATTTCTGCGGCAAAGCAGCTCTTGCCCGTAGGTGGCACCAAAGACAGTCGAGTTCAGCCGTGACATCTCTCCACGACTACTTCAGTGAGGGAAAATCGAGGAACAAACAGATGGGAAGAGGGGAGCGAGTGGGTGTTCAGCGAGGAGGGGAAGGGGTCGCAGCCCATCGCTAGGGGCCGAACACTGCACACGTGTCAGGAGCTCTTGCAACTGTCTGTACAGTCACCATAGCCCTGGCAACCAGCCCACTCAGGCTCTGAAGGTGTGGGCTAACAAGCCCTTAAGTCTCTTACAATGCACTTCCACAAGAATGGTGGCGAACAAGGCCTTCATTTTGCACACTGCACTTCAGCAAGTTCTCAACCCTTCACAAGAAACTTCTCAGAGGTGCTCGATAACAAGCCACAATACAGAATTACAGGATATTTGGAGTTTGAAGGGACCCACAAGGATCATCAAGTCCAACTCTTGGCCCTGCACAGGACAGCCCTGAGAATCACACCATGTCCCTGAGAGCATTGCCCAAATGCTCCTTGAGCTCTGTCAGGCTTGGTGCTGTGACCACTGCCCTGGGGAGAAGTTCCAGTGCCCAAACACCCTCTGGGGGAAAAACCTCT